GAGGAGGGGGGAGTTAGAAAATTTTACTACTAACAGAGATACAAAAGTGGACGGTAGGTATAAAAAGGTTGACTAACCCTGAACTGGATGGAGAAAATCCAGGAAGAAGGCAAGGGCAAATCATTTCTAAGTTGCTTCCGTGGAATCTACATATATATGTCTAGGTCAGTGATGGCGAACCTTTTTCTTACGGCGTGCCAAAATTGAGTGCACACGTGTGTGTCCAACTGTGCATGCGCATGCAACCCCCCCCCACACACACACATGCGCGCGCAACCCTTCCCAGACTCCAGAGGCTTTTCTGACGTCTGGGGAGGACGAAAAACGACCCCAATGGCCACACACAAGCCGGAAATGGATCATTTCCGAACTTCGGGTTAGCCTGTTGGGGCTGTTTTTCAGCCTCCCTAGCCTCTGGAGGCTTTCGGGTAGCCTGGGAGGGCAAAAAACGACCCCAATGGCCCAAACAGAAGTTTGTTCCCGAACTTCTGGTTGGCCCATTGGGGTCGTTTTTCATCCTCCTCAGCCTCCAGAGGCTTTCCTAAAGCCTGGGGAGGGTGGAAACAGCCTCCCCTTGCCCTCCGGAAATGTGAAAAATCAGCTGGCCAGTGCGCGCATGAATGCCATCAAATACGGCTCCACCTGTAGCACACATGCCATAAGTTTGCCATCACGGGTCTAGGTGATCCACCTTGCAGTAAGATGGGTGGCAAACAAATTTAATAAACAAACAAACAAACAAACAAATAAATATAAAACTCCAAGTCAAAATGTAACTATAAATTGCAGTTAATGACAAGACAGTTTTGAATTACATTTATGGTAGTGGTTTATTGGCCTAAATAGAGGACTGTTTTGTACATTTTAGAGTTTTCTTGGGAAGATGGGAGCTCTTCTCCCAAAGTGCAGCCAAGTAACACTTTAAAAAAAAACCTTATAACACATTTTCCTGTCTAGGAGTAAGTGGGCAGGGGAATTCGATTTTCATGTTCTACCTCCGAGGTCCCCAATCCCCGGTCCGTGGACCAGCATCAGGCTGAAGCATGCCAGAAAGTGGGCTGTGCAAAGGACAAAGCCCCATCCGTGGCTTTATGAAACCACGCCCCCTCTGATCCACGGAACAACCTCTCTCCATGGAACCAATCCCTGGTGCCCAAAAGTAGCTGGTGCCCCACTGCTCTACCCCCAGTGGCGGATTAAGGCTCACTGGTGCTCTAAGCACTGACAAATCTTGTTGCCCCACTCCTTTGTATATACTGTACAAATCTTCATTGGGTTTTTTTTCTTTCTCAACTTTGTGGTGCCCCCTTGGGTCTGATGCCCTAATCACGTGCTGAGTCTGCTTAATGGTTAATATACTACTGTCTACTCCAATTTGTTACCCAATTTTATTGTTATTATTCAGACACTTAAGTCGTGTCCAACTCTTCACAACTCCATGGGCCACAACATGCCAGGCCTGCTTGTCCTCTCCTGTCTTCCAGAATCTTCCCAAACTCATGTCCATTGCATTGATGACACTATCTAATCATCTCATCCTCTGCTGTCCCCTTCTTCTTTTGCCTTCAATCTTTCCCAACATCAAGGTCTTTTCCAAGGAGTCCTCTCTTCCCATTTGGTGGCCAAAGTCTTTGAGCTTCAGTATCTGTCTTTCCAAAGAATAGTCAGGGTTGATTTCCTTTAGGACTGGCTGATTTAATCTCCTTGCAGTCCAAGAGACTCTCAAAAATTTACTCCAACACCACAATATCCAATTTTCGTGATACTCTTTTAGTCACTTCCAAGGGCTACTAAATGGAAGGTTGGAACTACCTAACAGGGGCCTCAGTTTGCTCACTGTTGGAAGCCTTGGTTGGGAGTCAAGTAGAAATGAACATTTTGCAGTGGAATCACTTTTGTCTCTGCTTCACCTCTAAAACCAGGAGAGTGAAAAGTGGGGTGCAGCTTTTATTTTTATTCTTAAATATCCATTTATAGACTGCTTTTATTTTTCTTTCCCACTCTTCCCAATGAAAGGGAAATAAAATTCATCAGGACTGGCATCCTGTTTTGACCTACGGTATTGTTCGGAGCATAAGACGCACCAGAATATAAGATGCATCAAGATTTTGAAGAGGCAAATTTTTTT